CCCCCCCCCCCCCCCCCAACACATTTTATCTTGTTTAGACGCACATTTTTGCTGCTTTCTACACATAACTGCCATTCCTCTCTCTGGAGAAACAATAAGCATCTGATGGCTTCGCCAACAAAGACACTTTATGTCCAGTGGCAACAAGCCACGGGCATTACAGGACACTGACTCTTCACTTAGAGCAGAGATTAAAAGTTGCTTTAACATTTTTATTTATTTTTTAATGGTTTTACTTCCACCTCACCGGAACTTTTTTTTTTTTTGTCTTTATTGAAAATTTAATAATAATAATAATTACAAAAAAAACACAAGGCATATAACAACAATAAAAAAAGTTCACATTTGACATGATAAAACGAAGCAGAAGTTATGAACAGAATTAAAATAAAAAAGTTGCTTTAACATTACCGAGTCAACTGGGGAGTTTCTAGCATTGAGATATACCGTATTTTCCGCCGTACACGTCGCACCGCCTTATAAGTCGCATCAGTACAAATATGTCTAATAAAATGGAAAAATCCATAAATACGTCACTTTTGCTGTTTATGTCACATCTATTATACGTCACCGCTGACAACCTGGAAATGTGGGCCGGTGTTGTGCCAAAAATCGATTTGGCAGCCACGGGAGTGTGCATGAGAGGACTTTAACAAGAATTTAACAAGATTAACACTTAAAAGCAATTATTTGTTTGCTTGAAATGACAGCAAAGGTGTGTCTCACTCTAACTTTTACTAATAAATGTGCTTTGATGGTCAAATCAGCTGCATTTCAAAACTCGATTCACTGAAGTGGGCGCGCAGAGGGACGACTCGCTGTGCATTTCTTCCAAATTTAACAAGATAAACACCTAAAATATTTATTTGTTTGCTCGACATTATAGCAAAGGTGTGTCTCAGTTGATCTTTTACTTAATAAATGCACTTCAATGGTCAAATTAGCTGCATTTCGCCTGGACAGCGCAGTGAAATGAAGCTGATTTGACGGTTGCTGCAGGCGAGCTGGACAAAGGTGACAGGTTATGGCAAGCAGACTGTGTCATTAATAGCCACTTTTACCTATTACATTGACACAACGGCATGCCATACTTCTCGACTGTCATCTAGCGGCTGAAAATAGTAGTGTTCAATATTTTCAGTCAGAATGAATGAAAACGGTCACATCGCAGCCAAAAATTGGTTTATAAATATGGAAAAATCCATAAACAAGTCGCAGGGCATGCAAATTATGCAAAAAACTGCAACTTATAGGCCAAAAAATACGGTAGTTGGTTACATAGATTTCCCTAAATAATATAATTCCTCTTGCCTTCAGGTTCGGCGTCCGCTTCCCCTGCATGTCTGATGCCTACGACCGCGAGCTGCAGCAGCTGGCGCACGACGTGGCGGCAAAACTGGGCTACAGCGACTTCATCCGCGAGGGGGTGTACTGCGTCCTCGGAGGTCCCTCCTTCGAAACCATCGCCGAGTGTCGCATGCTGCACCGCTTAGGCGGCGACGCTGTTGGTAAATTACTCTTAACGCACACACGCAGAGCTATTACCTTCTCCACAACAAGAATCACACCTGCACAACATTTCTACACTAATGGAGACCTTCAGAGTCAGTGCTCCCTGAATAACACGTGTGCATTTTAAGACATATTCTCCTCCACATTAGGGTTAATATATACAAATGGATTGGTCTGAGGAAGTTTTCAAAGAGCTAGCTGAGAGAAAAAATGTTCCAAAATGTCCTTAGAGGTGATGTGCTCATTCAGGTTGTGACATGCAAAACTCGAGCGTGCACACAATGTCAAACGCAATCAAGCCGATAAACACACAGAAGGAAATGAGTCACGAGGCTCAAAAACTCCCAATGTACAAAGAAATGTACTTTCAAAACAGCTGATTGTTTTCTTATGTCTGGATTTTAAACATGTTAGCTTAGCACGAGGAAATGTATTTTGCTTATTTACAATATGAAGCACGATCAGCTGAAACAGATCACTTTATTTCACGCTAAATATTTTGGAGAAAGCGTCAGACAAAACACCACTCATGTTTTTAAAACCTGTTTTCTTTAAATTGTGTTTTCTGACTATCTTTAAACTAAACCTCTGCAGGGTTTAAGTCATTAAGCCAACAAAATAATAAAACATCCTGACTATGAAGCTCATTTTGTAAAAACTTAGCTGAGCAATGTTTTGGATCTTTCCAACTAGGCCTGTCGCGATAAACAATAAATCAATTAATCGCATGATAAATGAAAATTATCAACCTCATTTTCATTTATTGGCTTTATCGTTTCTTCGTCTCTCTCTTTCTACTGAAGACACTGGATGACAAAATGCTCAACTCCGGTGCTCTTCACTGACCCCTCCCTTTCTTTTTAAAATCTGTTTTAACTGTCCAAAATTGCGTTTTTGGATCGTTAAAAGCAGCTAAGCTGAGAAGCTAAGCTACGAGCTAAGCTAACAGGCCGACCTCAGGAAGAAACCTCTGTCTTGTCAAAGCTCCACAATTCACAGGTGAAACCTGTGCCTTCGTGTAAAAAGTAGTTTTTCTCTGCAAAAAGAAGCTGAGAACTTGTTTATTAATTTTTTATTAAAAGCTTTGTGTGAAAAATGCTATGCTAAAGAGTTCACACCACACTAAGCGGCCGCCATTTTGAGAACCGAAGAGAGACAGCCCATGTCACGTCAAAGGGCCTCCCTCCCATTTTTCTTAGAGATACCTGCTCGCTTCCTCACTATCCATCCTTCGGTTCAAACTGTCTTATACTGCCGTCCAGTGGTCAAAAAAGGTACTACACACAAATTAAAGTTAACCAACATTTATTCTTAAATATGACAATAATTAGGGATTATCGTCAAATTTCAAACAATTTTATCGTTTATCACAATAATTTCTGAGACAATTAATCGCCCAGCATTTGTTATTGTGACAGGCCTATTTCCAAGCTTAACCAGATTATGTTACAGAAAATAAAAAGCTAACAACACCACAGACAATAGACTGTTACAGTATAGTTTAAGTATGCAGGTAAATGTAGATACTTCCAGAGCAGATGTTCTTTAAAACATCTGGATCTGCAGTTTGGCCTTTCGTCCACATGTTAAGGCTTGTTGACGTTTCAAAGCAATTCTTTTAAAGATTTTATCCTTGCAGGCTGAAATGTTTCAGATCCTCAGAGCTACTGCTATAAGATTATTTTAATGTGTACAAACCTTGTGTTCACAGCTTTGAATGAGGCTACTGCAAGGTTTATAGTCATTATCTTATTTTTTGAAGAATGATCTAGTACGTCCTATTTTAACGGAGATAACAAAAGAACTTAAATATTTTTGCTTAGCATTAATCAGAAACCTCTGCTTATGGCTGCCAGTTAAACACTCCTATCATTTCACTCAGTAATGTTCCCAGACAGACTATTTATTTATTCAGCTGCTGTTCAAGAAAGGAGGGAACTCGGGGTCAGTGCAGGAAAGCTCAGAGTGACTTGACTGCGTAGTGTGAATGGAAAAATACAGACGAGCTGGAATGAATTACAAAGCAGTTAATTTGAAATTAATGTACAGTATGCTGCACAACCCCTATTTGGACAAAACTGTGACACTGTGCAAAATGACAATAAAAACCACATGTGATGATATGCAAACCTCTTAAACGCTTCGAATAAAGTAAACGTGAAATGTTTAAACTAAGAAACTGTATCATTTTTAAAAAGTAAATGTTGCATTTAATGGCAGCGACACATCTCAGAAATGTAAGAATGGAGCAAGAAAGGTTGAAAGTGGCACAAATAAGAAACAGCTGGAGGAGCAGTTAGCCACATATTGAGTTAAATGGTAAACAGTCAGTAAGAGGACCGGGTTTAAAAAGTGTTTTTTACAGAAGCTGAATCTCAAAAGTACAAACCGGATTCCAAAAAAGTTGGGACACTAAACAAATTGTGAATAAAAACTGAATGCAATGATGTGGAGATGGCAAATGTCAATATTTTATTCGTAATATAACA